TCTCTTGTGATGGAGTTGCTCGGAGGCTTTTTCAGCTTACTTATTGACAGAGTTTGTCATGTAGCCTTTGCTTCATTTTCTCATTGCCCACTCACTGTGTGTTCATGAAACAAAGAGAAAATGAAAAGCTCTACCAACAATGAAGCCATTAGTTTGGCCACATACCAACCCCTCTTGCCACTATGGCATCCCAGCAGAAACAGCACCACCTGAGCTATACGGGAGCTGTTTGTAGCTACGGAAGATTCTTCATTTGACCCCCACAAGAGAAGAACAAGTATTTTGGCTTCTTTTTTTTTTTTTTTCCTATAATGGTGTCATTTATCAGTATGACACATATTCATTGACTTAGTCTGAATTTTTTCAGTGTCAGATTTATACTTCTTTGCCGTTTTGAATATTGATGCAGCACTTCCTTTATGTGACTATACCATGTCTGCCAAATGGTGTCTAGACGCTGGAGCAGCTTTAACTAATTAGTGTAGTCACCCCAGTCATTCAGCTTTGGCATTTACGTACTCTATATTACTGCTGTTGAACCATAAATAGATACCTAAATACAAGCAGCAAGGTAAAGAGAGGTGATAGCGAGCATGTCTAGACTTCACCTGACATCACTGAGGTGAGCGCAGAGGACAGGAGCCATCTCTCCCTGCATTCACTAACAGGGCAAGCAGTTGTAACAGCTCGCTCAGACAGGTTCAACATCTTTCTTGGTCTGAAGATCACCAATACAAAGGCAAGGCTAAGAGATTTCTCTCTCTTGGTTCAGCCCCTGTGTACAAGCAACTGAAGATGCATACAAACAGAGAAAAAAAAGAAGTAAGAGAAATCACTATCCAGTAGCCCAGCAATAAGGGTACTTCTTGGGGCGGACTCGTGTGTCTGGTTTGTGGAGTTGATTTCCCATAGGCCATGATTTACACCAGATCCAAACTAAAAATGCAGTTTTGGAAATTTTCTGCAACTTCGTCATTTATGTCATGCTTTTATATATTGCACTAGTACTGAAGCTGAGTTGACCAACTTTAAAGAAGGAGAACTGATAAATATCAAAGATAATTTCAGAACATCAAAGAACTTTTACAAAACCTTGAGAATAAAAAAAAAAGTGAAAACTTAATCAATGTTGCCTACGCAACAGGCTGTGCTAATATAAAATTAAATTGCCTCAAAATTATATGCAGATTAAACACAATACTGCTATTAACAAAGCTTATTTGTAAGCAAAATTTGAAAGTTTTGATTTATCCTGCTGAGTATTTGAAGAACCAGTATCATAAGGAAAACAAATTAACTTTGTTTTCTTTGTATTTTTAACTGTTACAAATGATTTTACTGGTGCTAATACAAAGCATTAGAGAAGAGCAGGTTTGGGATTTTTTTCTCTTGTTCTCAGAAAGACTGTTTGTTGTTTGAGCAGATTTTCTTTGAATTTGCCAATAGGATTATTCTTATTTTTTAAGTTAGTGTTATACAAAATATTTAAAGTAAGCTTTCCAGAAGATCAGTAGTTTACTTTGAGGAGATTTTTCCAGGGCTAAGATAGGAGTCATTTAATATATGGGGGTTTTGCCCTGCAAAGAGAAGATTTTGTGGTTTTGTTTTGTTTTGTTTTCTTCCCAGAAAGAAGATTTCTGGGTGGTTCTTTTCAGTTCCTTTATTTTATGCAAGGGAAAGGAAAAAATCATTAATGCTACTGTGCACAAAGAAGGTTTATGATTCTCCAACAGAAAAAAAAAGAAGTTCCTTTTAAACGTGGTCCTGCTACATGTTATGTACAACATAAAACTGCCTGTCTGTCTCCATCCAGCCAACTAGGAAATAGATGTATACAGATATGTACATTGCGCATATAAAATAGTGCATACCTGAAGGCACACATGTTGCAAGCTCTATTTGTTCTGTAGATTACCAAACTACTTGGTCATGGATTAGACAACCACAAGTTACACAGCAAGGAACACTAAGTTAACACAGTATACATGTTTTTTATAGGACCACTATCATCTGATTGCTCTTTTTCAGCATCACTAAAAGGATTGTCTCTTTTACCCAAGCAGTTCTTAATATGACATGCAGTACTTTAGGATAAATGATTTTATGGTTCCTAATTAGGCTATTTTTTCTCTCTCTAGATAAATAGCAGTATTTGTATTGCTGATGAGCACACTTTCAGCAGTGCCAAGTTACTGTAAATACTTGGGACTAGACCTTCAGTGCGTGTTAATCAGCAGATCTGCACTGAAAATAATGGAGTTATTTTGTGGCAGATGGAGGTCTGTTCCTGTTTTATTTGCTGGACTTAACTTTGTCTACAATGGAGACGAATCCACTTAAATGTCAGGTGTAGTTAGCAGCTCAGGAGAGAATGAGAACTTTGATAGTATGAAGTTTGGATGACTCAAGAGGGAGAAGGTGTATGGTGATGTCCGGTAATACTTGGACCAGAGCTATCTGAATTATATTTGGCTTATGAAAACTTAAATGTGCAACATTGTCAGATCATTACTTTTTATGACCACAAAAATTCTTCAGAAACTAACACAGAAACCAAGCTTTATGCAAAAGGGATCAGCAGAGCAATTTTTAGCCTCCTTTAGGATTTGCAACAAATAAATTCTTTAAGCAGGCTGGTTAGTAAATGGCTGGTGTTATGCCATAGTTATCAGTCCTTAAAAACATTTAGAGAGGAGGAATACATTAAATGATCTCTGGACCAATGCACCTAATAATCTAAGGGACAACTGGACGTTTAAGAATGATTAAATGATTGCAAGAAATGTTTTCAAGATTATCGGGATGCTGATTGTATAATTGCACCTCCAAAGAAATTTATTTGTGGTCACATAAATAATGAAATTTAAACCTGAAGAGCTAGTTTGTTTTAGAAATGCAAAAATACTGCACGTACAGCAGGCTTGCTTCTTCTACCATGGGAAAGGTTTTTCATACTAGATAGATGTAATAGGCTCTCTTCTGTCTGCCTTAAACAGAATTCATCTAGATATTAGTGGAATTCATAAAAACCTTAGAAACTGTCAATTGTGTTTGTTCCAAATTGCTCAGAAGGCTGGATCCGAGCCACTGAGAGAGGAACCACTGCAGTGATATAGGGTTTCCTTGCCCAGATTTTCTTCATGGTGCTGCTGTTTATCTCTTCCCATACCTTGGAATTCATTTCTTCTGAGCCTGTGCCTTGGTAGGTGTGGTGTATATTCACCAGCAAAGTAGAGATTTTATGGAAATTGAGAAATTCATACATATAGGACATCTTCAAGGATTGGTAGAGAGCTTGACTTTTTAAAGCTATTAAAGGCAGCTGGGTACAGATGTCCATCTCAAGGTTAAATGATTAAATAAGAGAAGGGAGCAAGTGAAAATCTTACAGTTGACTATGGTTTGAAGGAAACCATGGATTTGCTGATGTCAGTACACTTATCAAAGGATGGAACTAAAAAGAGGTCATGAGAATAGCTCAGATAAGTTCAGGTACAATTTGCATACAGTCTATTTATAGGACAGTTTCTCAAACCAAGCCTGTGAACCTTTTGAAGTTTGCCCATGACTACTTTCAGGCCAGTTAATGATGTATATCCATCCCATTCTGAGATAGGTAAAACAATAAAGTAAAGATAATTAGTCTCTGGAGCATGTAAACAAATAAAGTAAATCACTTGCAAATAACTTGTTTCTGCTAACTTCTGTGTTTTTGCTGCAAAATTTAAAAAGATCATTTATACTGAAAATCTGCATAATGCTAGAGCAGTACTGAAAATGTGTAGATTGTACTATTCTGATTTTGAGACGGCTTTGCTCTGGATCCTGAAACATCACTGTGAGTTGAGAACGTTTTCGTCCCTTTTCACAGAAGAGGTCAAAGTAGGGAGGTTAAATAATTTTGTTTGTGGAGATAAAGATCTGAATGACACTTTATAAATAAACAGAAGTCACTGCTCCAAGTTTACAAGTCTAAGTGGAAGCACTAGTGAAGCTGAGGAGGTCAGGCCACGATGGGCAGGAGAGCAGCTGTTGGATGTGGGACCTTGACCCACCTCAGTGTTGCGCCTCAGATTTTACAGACCTGAATGGGAGCATTATGTGGCCTTTAAGGTTCAAATAACCAGAAGAGTCCTGTCTGCTAGTCCTTTTTGTTTGTTTGTTTTCCAACATAGTAGTAATCTGTTAAAAGCAATATAGCTTCACTCCTAGTCTGAAAGTACTTTCTGTAAGTAAGCGGTGCTCTCCCCCTCTTGGACATGGGGTAACTGAGGTAAGTGGCCATTCAGCAGCAGAACTCGATGCAGAGCACACAGTCACTTCTTCTCAGCCCTGGGCTCAACGCTGTAGACTTTGGATAAATGTACATTTAACAAGAACAAATATATTCTCAGTACCATGGCTCCAAGGGACTGTGGAGACCACGCCATCTGGATCTGCCTGCTCCCCCAGTTCAGCTAGCTGCTTCTGCAGGCCAGTCCAGAGCAGGGGTAAGCCCATTCCCTGGAAACTCAGGGCAGTACCATGGCAGTCCTGCCTCAAGTCATGTAGTAAGAGGACTCTGGGAACACAAACATACAATTTTGTGTAATCAGTAAAACAGCAGAAACTGTGTTCTGAATCTGTAGAATAACAGATTCCAGTTACGAGTTCAGATCCAGGCAAAATGACTGCTTATATGATAAAATCGCTCTTTGTCTTTGCTTTTTGTTTTTTTTTTCTGGCATGAAAATGCAGAGCATTTATTTTAGTAAGGGGCAGGCATTTCCTTGTTGCTCTGTGTCCCTTTTTACTGTTTTCTTACACTTTTTTGTTCTGACTTAAAAAATGGATTCTGGAAAGAGATGTGTCTTATAAAGAGACTGTCATCAGCTGAAATGTGTCCAATATACATTTAAGTGAAAGAATATTAAGCCTTGTCCAAAAATAAAAAGAGTGGAAAAGGTAAGGATGCCTGCAGGGTTGATTTTTAAAGATATGAATTTTTCTTCATGTTGCAGATCTCGCCTTGCAGATTTCTTCACAAACTGCCAGCCTGAGTCACGGTCTGTTAGTAGCTGTCTGAAGGAGAACTATGCTGACTGCCTCCTCGCTTACTCGGGGCTTATTGGTAAGTAGGCAGGGAAGGGTTGGGGCTTGCTCGCTCAGTCTAAGAAAAACACCCCAACTATATTTTGAAGGCCCACTTGAAATAAAAACTGTGGGTTGGAATGCTGTACAATATGATACTAGGGAAAATTCTCCACCTGAGTGTATTTGCCCTGTTTTACCTTACAGAGATTCCTGGGGTAAATTTGTACATTGCAAGGAAATTAAGGATAGAAGATAAGGAGAGAAAGGTTCTTGAATTAAAAAAAAAATCAAAGTTACAAAGTAAACCTTTTTAAGGTGGTTGAATTTCGGCAGGACTGTGAAGCAGTAAGTTAAAAAGAACAAGTGATACTGCAGCTTGGTTGATTTTACAGCTGTCATCACAAGGTTGGGTAGATACCTTTTGGTCTTCAGGGAAAGTTTGCCAGACATTTAAGGAGTGAGAGAGTAGACAAACACAGCCATGTTTCATTTCCTGCTGCTGTTCTTTCCATGATATCCTTCTGTCCACACTAAATGTTTTCTGAGATGCCTGTCAGAGGACCAAATTTATCTTCAGAAATCCTCTTCCCTTCCCAGCATAATTAATTTTATTTGCTATCACCTTCCTGACTGTCAACAGGCACAAGGATGCGTTTATGCAAGCCAGATTCCATATACCACATGGAGTATTTGATTCCTGAAAGAAAGAAATCATCTTAGGAAGGTGAACTTGTAGAAATACTGTGGTTGGACAATAAAAAAATAAGTGAATGTCAAAACTCTGAAACAAACAAATTGTAAAGGCCACCAGATAAGATGTTTTTAAGCTTACAGCCTGCACCTGCTGTGATGCAGTAATATCCCCTTCTGTTGGGTATGAAGGTCCCAGCTGAGGCCCTGAAGCAGATCCTGCTGTTAAATAAATGTCTCTGGAGATAATATCCAAAATAAAATATTTCTAAAATAGGTTGGGTTTGTTGAAAAATTACTGAAAGCTATATTCACTGGGTTACTGTTATCATTCTTATTCCTCTAGCAGCTAACAAGTGAGGTAAGTCCATTTGGCAACTGGTAAAATGAGATGTGATGGTTTCAAGGGATATGCTTCTACATCTTAAGAGATGAAGACAGTGTGCAAAGGGTATAACATATGAACAGTTATGACAGAATGTCATTTGACTCTAAAACAAAGAATTGAATAGCCTTGAAATCTGATCTAGTCAATGAGATTAAGAAGCCTAGCTGCTGGCAAAGAGTAACTATTACTTATAGATACTTCTGGGTAAGAGCTGCCAAGAAGTTCTTGCTGGACCTAGTGAATCTTGCTGTCAGTTTTGTTGGATCCATTTTTCAACTTAACCTCAGGATGACCCAGTTACCAGAGTCAGGTGTTTTTGTCTTACTGTGGGTGCTGCAAACCAGTGTCACACATCAGAAATGTGGAATGGATCCCTAAGGAGTTGAAATCAAAAGGAGATCTAATTTTCAAAGGGTAAACCAAACATTTTTCTTCCCTTCCTACTAGCCCCTAGACACATGCAAAAAGATGGTACTGACTCGTGTTACAAGAGTTTTTACTTCTTGGTAGTAATTCTGATAAAACAAGAAAGTTACCAAAACAAACCTTTAATGTGCTGAAGCAGTAAATTCCTGCTTCTGATATCAAGCTGATATAAAAGTGTAGTAAATTATGTGAAGACCCAGATTTGTAAGATGCTGAGAGAGAAATCAGAGGTACAACCTTTCAAATGTCTGCTTAATATATATAAAACACGGGAAGAAGAGAAAGATAGACTGTGGGGAAGAAACTATTACAGATCCATCCATTCATCAGAGCCTCAGGATCTCCAGGTGTTTTAATTAAGATAAAATATTGTTCATTAAGATAAAATATTATTTCATTTAGCTATTTCATTAAATGTAGCAAAAATTGTGCATCCACAAAGGTTTTTCAGGGAATTTAAGGTTCTCTGTGGAAGGTACAGAGGATGTAATTCTGCTGTCACATACAGAGATGTAAATCAGAGTTAACTTCACTTAAATTAGTAGAATCCCACCTGAAATAAATTACTTAAATGGGAATAGAGTCAGGCAGTTTTTGTATGAGGTGCTTTACCAGTTAAATTGAGAACAGCCTGTATAAAGTTCTTTAAGACTTGCATCAGGGTGCTGTATATATAATTTTAAAGTTATGTATATTTTACAGGAATTTTGAAAGTCTTAATTTGTTGCTTTAGGCTCTTTGTATAGTAATAGGGACAAATTCATATTTAAAAAAAAAAATAAAGGAAAAATAGAAAGGTTATTCAGTGTAGAATAAGATTGGAGATAGCCATGTTTGAGATTCAGGGCTTTGGTTACAGCCCAGTTAAGCCATCTGGACCTGTCTGCACTCCCACATCAGTTAGGTGTTGCTCTAACTGCTGACTTCAGAGTCTGCTTTAGCATTCACTTTCTGACACATTTTAACTTGTTTTCCATAAAATCCATCTAATTTCTTTGTGATTCCCAGGAAATTAATGAGAGTTTTTGTGAATAAACTGGAGTTGCATTGGGCCAAAGGAACTTCAGTCACATGCCCTTCCTCCTGAACTCACCATCCATCTCCTCATTCTGAATTGACCCTAATTTGAGCAACCTTTTGGCTTTGTTCATGTCAATTCTACTTTTGTCTAAAATGTGGAGACCTGACTGCCTACTACTGAGACCGTCACAGGACTATTTGAGAGAGAAAGCACAGAAAACCAAGCACGCCCTATTTTACTGCCAACCACCATGGTTTCTCTGATCTGTTAGTGTCCTTCAGCAGAATTTCCAAGATGCCAGCTAGCAGAGAGGAGGAAGGGAAGGTACACACATTGCAGGGAAAAAACAAAATCCACCCCAGGAAACGAAGCATATAATCCGCTTGGGTTCACATCTGCCCCCAGGTTTAAATGACAGACTGATTTTCTACTAGCTGCTCTTTCAGCCACTCTGTTTTTGCTGGATCTACAGTTTGTGTGCTGTGTATACACATTCCTTGTCCTGTCTTTCCTGTATTCATCAACCCTAATCATAGCTTGATCTGTCTTGACCCATTTTAATTACCTTATTACCTTTTTGTGCTAAGAAAGTCTTACCTCAGTGACCTTTTCAATTTCCTCAATACCTTTCTGGTTTTTTAACCCTTCACTAAGTGTTTGGTATTTAGCCTTTTTTTTTTTTTTTTTTTTTTTTTTGAAGCCTACTGTTTTCTTCCCATTTGCAAAATCCTCTTAATTCTCATTTTCTCTCATTTCTTTTCAGATCATGTCACACAGTTGAAGTAGTGTAGTGAACCATCAACTACATAATGGACAGATATTTTCTTTTTCTTTTTTTTAATTTAACATCATTCTTCTTAATATTTATCTCCTGTCAAGTTTTCATTAGTGGCACAAAAGATATTTGCCTATTTTACTAAATTCTCTGCCTCCTTTTAATAAATTTTGAACTGTGCTGTTTACTCATGTGCTAATCGCATGCAGAATTTCAGCAATTATTACTGCGACTATCTGTTAAAAGTTGGAAGTATATAAAGGGATGGGATTGCATTCTAATTTAAGAATATCCCAAAACAAGATGAAGGATGCTTTTTGTTGTGAATTTGGCAGTGGGACTGCATGAATTTTCACATGCATTGCTGCCTTTCTTAGTCCAGCCCTTAATGTATCTTCTCCTTGTCTCCCACATCGTGTATGAAGCAGTTTGCATGTTGATTTGTTCAGTTCCCAGCACTGCCTGGTGACTGAAAAGCTCTTTGACGTCATTCAGTGATTTGTGTTATTTCTAATGTTCCTTGATGTTTGATAGCCCTTTCCTGTGCAGACTCTGGGACCCTGGACCTATGGACCAAATGTTCTCTGCCAGTGTACAATTTGTGTCGCTAATATTTATCCTTTATCTATTCCATCTTCTTAATGACTACTTTGATGTCAGTTCTGAGGAGATGTGATCACATTTCCTCATGATATATAGCCTGTCCTAGAAGTGTAGATTACCAAGTGAGGAACGTGTTTCCTGAAACAGCTGTTGTCAGTACAAGTCTGGAATACCTGCTCCTTTTTATTTTATTTTTTCCTGTTTGGTCAGACAAATAAAATAAAGGTTCAAACTTCTCAATCCTTAGGAAAGTTTGAAATCTCTGACCTGCTGGGGTGATGCCTTCAGTGAGACTACTTTTTTGAATTAAGTGCTGATCATATAACAGTTTCCTGATCCAGATGAGTGATGGAACAGTTGCTGTGTATCTTTTAGGACACAAAATGCGTTCTTTGGTTTCATTTCATTCTTGGTAGCCTTGAGTTGATGTATAAGTATGAGAATATTTACCTAAGAATTTGTAAAGGAGTTATGATGACCCTGTGGTTGCAAGTTGTTGACAATGTTTAGGAAACAATTACTGTACTGAAAAAGTAGTGACACAGCAAGATTAATAGTAATTTCTTACCTGCAAAGAATCTACTGTACTTTTTTATGAATGCTTGTTATATTTTTGCTTTGTTCATCACCATAACCCACTCTCTTGACAGGTCCCTAACGAGCACCGTGGGGTTAGCGCTCCTCCAAGATGTATTAGGGCTCCTCTCAGCTTGCCTAGCATTCTCCGTGCTCATGTTTTTTCAGGCTGGCTACAGACTTAAGGAGGAAACTCAGGTCTGGATGTGTAGTTTCAGCCATTTATTTGCAGCTAGAACAAAAACGAGAAAAAAACACAGAGGAAGAAAAAATTGATTTTTAGAGTGCTACTCTAAGGACACAGGTCTACTTATGTTTGATTTGGCAGCAAAGCCCTTTTAAGAGGTTCCCACCTTCTCCCAGTCCATCCCCCCCCGTGCCACAATTTTCCACCTGTCGATTCTGCTGATGCAGCTCTCTGTGGGAATGCAATATAAACCTTTTTGGAGGAAGGGAATGGGTCTTTACTGCGTGAGTCCTTTTACAGTCCCTAAAGTGGTTGCATGCAAACAACCGAGGGTGTGAAATTCAGCACGGGGCTGGGTGTCAAAGGGCAAAAGGAGCCAGGAACTGTTAAGTCTGGAAGTTAGAACCCTGCCGTGGGTCTGCATCGTGACTGCAGCTCTGAATACATGACTTACCAAGTGCTGTTTCCCATCTTCTTAGTATGGAAAGAATATTTCAGTACAGAGGTTGCTCACAGTACTGTACTTCACTCTTTGTTAACAGGCACAGTGATGACACCAAACTACATAGACTCAAATAGTCTCAGTGTTGCCCCGTGGTGTGACTGCAGCAACAGTGGTAACGACATAGACGAATGCTTGAAATTTCTAAATTTCTTCCAGGACAATACATGCCTTAGTAAGTACAAAATTAGATGTCTTTAAAAGTGTTTTAGCATGTTTTCTGGAATTTCTTTGCTGTGTGTTATGATACATCAAGGCCATCTCTCTGCACTTTCTAAGCATGGTTCTGCCGTAGGTATAAGAATTAAATGAGCAAATATGCCTGGTGCTATGGTTTATGGCTAAGACTGCAAACATGAGAAGCTCTTGGAAAAAAATTCAAATAACAAAGTTTTATCATATAGAAATATGTTTACATCACAGATCATATTCATATTCTAACAGACAGGCAGCATCTGTACCAAAAAATTGCAACACTTGAGGGGCTTCTGTATAATTTAAGAACTTCATATAAAAAAAGACATGTAGTTTATGATACGAAGGATTTGCTGTAGGTAAGTATAAATTGGATTTTGCTTGCAATTTATAGTTGAGCTTCAGGTTTTTTAGGCTACTTGATCTCAGGTGCCTAGTTTTAACACAAGTCTGGATGGTACCTATTATAAAGATTTTGTTAAATTATTGATTTTTTAATTTTTTTTTTTTTTTCAGTTAAACTCACTTCCAAATTAAGGACTATTATAAATTTCAGAATGGCTCAGTGGAGTCGATTTTGGCAGATTCTCTTTTCAAATTTCCTGTCTGCCTGGAGCAGCATAATTGGGTGATGCGGAGTGTGCACCAGAGTTTTAATTTCAGATAAATTAGGGGACCAAAAGAGCTTGGCTTCCCTAGCCTAGCAGAACAGAAGTTGAAAGGATACATGATTGTCCTCTGAAATTGCATTAGCGGGGCAAGACCAGGGAGGGAAAAGGATGTCTTCTTCATGAAGAAATGAAAGATGTTTCTGGTTTAATGCAAAGTATTTTAAAGTATTTTCTCTTACAGACAATGAGAGAAGTTCCCTTTTTTTTGTTGTTTTTTTTTTTAATCATTATTGTCATTAATGGGCCTTCCAGTGTTCCAGTACCTGGAGAAAATGTAATTTTTTTATTGGATGAGGTTAAAGTCCCTCCCACTTTTTTTTAGACAAAACAAAAATTGCTTTTCCACAATGGGATGAAACTAGGAATTTCTTGCTCGTCTGTTTTGCCAAAGTATACTTCCCCTTCAAACTGGAAAATTTGGGGCCTGTACAAAAGATGTGGAAAACCTAACTTCAATGTTTATTTATGTGAAGTGGAATAGCTGAGGGCTAGGGGACTGAGAAAGCAGGAGACCTAGGGTCACATTCATGCTGTGCCTAGTGTGGAGCTGGGGTATGAAGCTGAGTTTCCCATGTCCCACATACACACCTGAAATCCTGCTCTTTCTTGCACCTCGGTATGCGCTCGCCTAGAAATTTCAGTCTAGAGTTGAAAAGCCTTTTGCAACAGATGTTAAGTTAAAACCAGAGTGGAAGTTTTGATTTCAAAAGGTGAATGTGAAAGTACTAGTGAAAATTACGGTCTGTTTTAGTAATTAGTCCCAATAACGACAAACATTACATTGTCTTCTTTGTACATATATGAGACAAAGTCTTTCTTTATCTTAGCATTATCCTGCAGATTATGGTTTTGTGTGAGAACTCAGAAATTGGCCCAATCTCAAGAAAGCTAAAAATCCAAATTAATAGGCCCCAAATAAAATGTGTCCCACCCTAAAATTTGGGGCAGTGCATTACCTTGCTTATATTTTTATTGTCGCTGTTGGAAGATGCAAGTTTATTAGTAATATTTCAGTGGTCCTAATTGCTGCCTCTCCAGTTAGGGTTTGGCCAATTTTAAATTCTGAAAATCCATCTTAAGACTTTATTTTAGCTACAGTGAAAGTGAATACCCTGACATTCATTTACAGACTCTAGAATT